GGGGAGGGGGGGGGGAGGAGGAGGAGGATCTAGTCTGGTAGTGAAGAGAAGTGTAAATGCAAAATGCATAATGAGAATAATTGTAAATTGTATCTTGGCTTTGAATGACTGTAGTGCTGCAGTAAATCAGTGACTTTCAGAACAATCTACTTTGTGCAATTAGGTTACTGAAACATCACTGAATGGTATTGTGTTCCCTTCAACATTAACTACAGGCTCTGCTATTTTCTGTCCTGCCACACTTAAACTCAAAGCTAATATACCTGATTCTAGCTGGACACAGTGGCTCACATCTTTAATCTCAGCATTTAGGAGGCAGAGGCTTGTGTGATAGATTGAGGAGAAATAGTAGTTCAAGGTCAACCTGGACTTACATGACCTGTCTCAAACAAAATAGTAAAATAAAAATGGTATGAGTTAGTAAAGGCATGTGTGATAGTGATATTGTACATGACATAGCTAATTAAAAGGCTGGCTTTTGTGAGAGATATAGATACATGCATAGTCATTTGTGTGTATCACTATCAGCCCCTTATTTTTATTTATTTTTATTTTTTGGTGTCAGAAGTGGGATTCGAAAGCCCCTTATTTTTTAAGAGAGGGTCTCAGCACATAGCACCCAAGTTGTCCTCAGACTTGTGATTTTTCTGCCTTTGCTCCCCAGAATTCTGGGATTATAGGTGTGTGCCACTATGCCCCATGAGTCATTTTGCTTATGTATTGTGTAAGAACAAGGGGCTGGAGAGATGGCTCAGTGGTTAAGAGCACTGGATGCCCTTGGAGAGGACTTGGGTTTGGTTCCCAGTTACTAGCACCCACATGGTTACTGAGAACTGTTCATAACCCCAGTTTCAAGGAATCTGACTCACATCCTCTTCTGACCTTTGCAAATATTACGTGACATAAGTGCACGTACCTACATGCAAGCAATACACTCATAGGAATAAAATAAGAATAATAAATAAAATATTTTTTAAAAAATAAAAAAACGGGCTGGAGAGATGGCTCAGTGGTTAAGAACACTGGCTGTTCTTGCAGAAGATTGGAGTTTGAATCCCAGAACCCACATGGCAGCTAACAACTGTCTGTAACTCCAGTTCCAGAGGATCTGACAGCCTCTTCTGACCTCCGAGGGCATTGCACGACACGGTGCAGTTACCTACACACAGGCAATACACGCATCATACACATAAAATAAAAATAATAAATAAAAAAGATATCTAGCCTAAACAAGACCTATACAATGACCACAACAGTTGATATGCCAACAGGAATGGGAGAAATTTCACAAGATCCCACCTCTGGATGAAAGGACTCAGTAGGTTTCATATTTTTATTTATTTATTTATTTATTTATTTATTTATAGAAGAGGTCATGAATTTGAGAAAGGAAATGGTTGAGGCTGGGCATGGTGGCACATGTCTTTAATCCCAGCACTCAGGAGGCAGAGGCAGGCAGATCTCTGTGAGTTTGAGGCCAGCCTGGTTTACATAGTGAGTTTCAAGCCAGCTGGAGCTACGGGAAAGCTCTGTCTCAAAAAGAGGAGAGAGAGAACAAGAGAGAGAGAAAGAGAAGAGAGGTTGGTGACATGGAAAGAGTTGGAGAGTGTGCTGGATAGCTTTAGTGTCAACTTGACACACGTGGGTTGAGGGAGCCTAAATTGGGGAATTGCCTCCATTGGACTGGCCTGTGGCCATGTCTGAGGGCATCCTCTTGACTGTTGAGTGATGTGGGAGGGCCCAGCCCACTGTGGGTGGTGCCACCCCTGGGCAGGTGGGCCTGTGTTGCATAAGAAAGCAGGCTGAGCAGGGGCTAGGGGAGCAAGCCAGTAAGCAGCGTTCCTCCATGGCCTGTGCTCCAAGTTCCTGCCCTGAGTTCCTACCTTGGGCTCCCTGATGAACTGTGACCAGAGAGATGTAAGCCAAATAAACCCTTTCCTCCCCAAGTTGGTATTGGTCAACGTGTTTTTTCACAGCAATGGAAAATCAAACCAGAAGAGAGGGGGAAAAGGGAGAGATGTAAGTGATGTAAATACAGTACTCTTGCATGAAATTGTCTAAAAATTATTTTATGAAGTTTGAGGCTGACCAGAGTGACAGTGTAAGGAAGCAGGCAATCTCCTATGCTCTATAGGCAGTCTACGTAAATGGAATGAACTTTCTGGAATACAAAGTGGTATTGAAATGTGCTGACTGTATCCAAAGTGTGTTTGCTTCAGTGTTGCATATAATACCAAAATGGTAATGAAACAAAATGTCCATCAATATATTGAAATATATGTATTTATTTTTAAAGACAGGCTATGTTTTTAGGCATTCACAAAGGAATGATACCATAACCTACTAAGTGTTAAAATGTTAACAAAAGTAAGTATGTGGTAATCACATGTAGCTTATATAGATTTTAAAGTTTTCAAGATCAAAAAAATCTAAATTTGTTTCTCCACTGCCATTTTTTTTGAGACAGGGTCTCTCTCTGTAGCCCCAGCCTGCCTGGAATTCACTATGTAGACCAGGCTGGCCTCAATCTCAGAGATCTGCCTGCTTCAGCCTCCCAAGTGATGAGATTAAAGGCATGCAC